GGCCGGGAACAGTGGGACTCAGTACCTTGGTCTGGTGGTCTGGTGTCCTCTGCGCCTTGGTAATGTGGAATCAGGTGGCTGCCTGTCTGCAGTGGGGTGATTCGGTGTCTTCCGCGTGACCCAGGACCTCGGTAGGGCGTGCACAGACCTGCCTGTCTGCAGCGGGGTGATTCGGCGTGTTCCGCGGGACTGGGGACCTCGGTAGGGTGTGGGCAGACCTGCCTCAAAAATATTTTCTCTGTTATTAGCTCTTCCTTCTCCCTCTCTCTCTATCTTTCCCTCTTTTCTCCACTCTATGCTAGAGATCCAGAGATTAAATCCAAGGCCTTAAGCATGCTAGGTAAGTGCTCTACCACTGAGCTATACAGCCCATCTGTATTATTATTGATTGCAAAAGCTAAACATGCTCACCAAAAATAGTCAAACATTAATCCCAACACCCAAAGATAACTATGAAACATTTAACACATAACACTCCATACATTTTCCCATATGTATAATGAAATAGACACACTTCTTTTTTAAAGGATGGGATCAGACAGGCATGGTGCTGCATTCCTGTAATCCCAGTACTCTAGGAGGCTGAGGCAGGAATATTATAAGTTTGAGCTTAGCTAGGGCAATTTAGTAAGACCCTGCCTCAAAAAAAAAAAAAAAAATAGGAAAGGGCTGGGGATACAGCTCAGTGTGAGGGCCCTCAGTTCAATCCAGTACCACCTATATACATTGTATTGTGATTCTCCCCCTAATACTATGGCACGAAGATTATTCCAAGTTAAAATACATAGATCTAACATCTTAGTTATGTTCTATAGTATAGACATACTCTATCCATTTCCCTATTGATAGCTCATAGACTATTTGGATAAAAGGTAATCAAATTTTCTTCCTCTGCATGAGAACTAGACTTTGGGTTATCTTTCTAGACCTATTTCCCTGGTAGCCAGAAACAAATGCTATGGCAACTGTATTACTCAACAATATTGCTTGTAATAAAAAATAAACTAGATTAATAAGTTGCATCTCAGACAGGAAAACTATACATAAATTATAAACCCCTAAAGGGGGTGTTTCTTGGCATGCAGTGACTCCTTTAATCAAACACACCCTTCAAGGGAACTCTAAGAGCTATGCCTATAGGGTATTACAAAGGTTACTGGCTCCTGTGGGCAATGAGGTTTCTAAGCTAGGGTGGCTCCTTCAGCCATCCAATTAGGAGTACTATTGTCTTGTGTCTGAGGTGACACATGGGGAGGGGCTCAAGAGAATGGCTCGTGGATTGCTATATAGATAGCTGTGAGGACTCCACCAAAGAGATGCAAATCTACTGGGACCCTGTGTGGAATTACTTCGAGCCTTCTAAGTGAACCTGGTATCCAGTGTGGCTTGTGAATCAGAATGCTCAACAGAGTCTAATAAAAGACTGAATAGTAGGTATTTCAGGATGTTCCCAATGAACTTCCTTGCACAAGAGTGTTTCTACAGAATAAGTTCCTAGAAGTGGAACTACCAGATTAAAGCAATGACTATTTTATGTTTTAAGGGACACTACCAAAATTACTTCCAAGATGTCATATACCAATTTATCATATTTCTGCCAGTTGAGCACAAGAGTGTCCATTTCCATACCAGTGCTGTATATCATTGCTCCTTTTCATTTTTGTCACTATTTGGTAGGCACAAAATAGTATCTTGGAGTATCTTTTCATACACCTATTGGCCTTTGTATGTCAATACTGAAAGACCACAGGAGAGGCATATCATCAGAAGCTTCTTCCAAACCCATCAAACTCAATTCAACAAAACTCATCCAATTTCCCACCTGACCTGCCTCCTCTTGAGTGTGCTATTTTAGCTCATTTTTCTTTGATTCTTCCCTCTCCCAGTAGTGTCACAGGTTGCCAAGTCCTGCGATTTCTACCTCCTGCCGAATCTCTTAATCCCCTTCACTCTTTGCCACAGCCCTGCTCAGGCCTCATCTCCTCTCCCTAGAAGACTGAAACAAAACCCCAGGTAGTCTGGCTTCCATCTTCTCTTATAATCAACACTTCTAACAGCTACTCCTTTATTTAAAAGCCTTCCATGGCTGTCTTTTGACTGCTAGATTACATACAAGTCCCAAAAGGCCCTTGGGGATTGAGTCCCTGCCACTTCCATTAGTCAGAATTCTCCCCCACCTACATCCCTTGTAAACATACTGAGCCTTTTCCTTCTCCCAGCTACTGCTGTTCTACATCTGTTCAGTTGCCCTGAAATGCCTTACCTTCTACTTCCTAAGTTATTTCTATTATTTTTATTTTTATTTTTTGGAGACAGGGCTTCACTATGTGGTCCAGGATAGCCTGCCTCGGCTTCCTGAACACTAGAATTATAGGCATATGAAACCATGCCCAACCCTATTCGTTTTTTGGTGTTAGCTTAGGTGTTCCTTTTCTCAGAAGTTCCTCCCAACTCTCTGGCTCATGTTGAAGTCCTACTTACATGCTTGTGTAGCTTTTCCTGATTCCCTCTACTATTGGTTACTCTGTCAGAGTCTGTCTCTTCCACCAAACCATAAGCTCACCATAACAGGAACTGGACACACACTTTTCTAAAGACCATGTTGTCATACAGTCAGAACACCAGCAGAGGTCACTGTGCATTTGCTGAAAAATTAAGAAGGCTTCCAGATCCTCTAGGAGTGTTTACACACTTAAGCATCTATCTCATCTGCATTTGCAAAGTAGCCTGCAAGTGGAGGATGAAGGGAATTATACCTATTTACAGAACCAGGAGCTCCCAGAGAAATGTGCTAAGGAGATACAACCACCCCAGGACTGCAGGCCTGAGTGCTCTCCAGCACTCAGCCTGTTACACTCCATAAGACAGATGAGTGGCCAATCATGGATGGGTGAACAGACAAATCTTAACAAAAATGACTGACTGTGCGGGCCAGGAGGCAGAAGATAGTTTTCAAATAAAAAAGCTCACCTAGAGGCAGGAGATTTTCTGAGGCATTGATATAAATCACAGAATGAACGTGCTTGAAGTCTTTTTCCTTTGCCTATAGGAAGGCATTTCAGAAAAAAAGAAAAAAAACACAAGATTAGTTCCTTGCCTGCAAGCCTTGCTGAAACTCCTGAGCTTCTGCCAGAAGGAACAAAGATCTAAAGGTATAAGAGACATCCTTAACACAAGAGCAGCCATGTGTTGAGGGCTTTTCTGCTTTTTTTCTATCATGAAATATGTTACATGTACAGAAAAGCACAGTGAATGAGATTGTAAAGATCTATGTAACCATTATTCAGTTTGTAATATATATGAACATTTTGCTGGGTTTGACTGAAATTTTACCATCCACCTCCAAATCTCCCTCCCCAACCCCATAACGACTATTCTTAACTAGTAGTGATCATCATTACCATTCCTGTTTTGAACTTATATTATTTATATGCATACACACACATATGCCCCCATCAACCATAAGTAGTGCTATTTATATATTTTGTAACTTTATATTATGGGCACTCATAAGGGGGATATCATTTTGTAATCTGTCTTTTCAGTCAACATTATGCTTTTGAGATTTACTTGAGTTGACATATGTAGCTCTAGTCTATCCATTTGATTTCGACAGTATTCCATTGTTTGATAATATTACAAATTATCCCTTCCCAATTGATGCACAATTAGCTATTTCATTATTACAAACAATGATATACATCCTGTACATACCTCCTGATCATAAGAACTTCTCTAATGATACACCCCTATCAGGTTGTGATAGGGACTCAGTGTTACACAAGGAATTATATTTCACCCAAATTCTATGGCATACTCAAAACCAGAATCATATGGTGAGTTCCTTTATTCATATCAAATGGGACAATGACAATATCAAATTTGTAACAAAAGTTTGTATCTGAATATTGTTTCTACCCAGAGACTCCTTGTCTGACCTTCCCCTCTTTCCTTCCACGTGATAATATTTCTCATCCCCAAGAACTCTGGAGGTACAACAAACACCACAACAGCCAGATCCCTCCTCAAGTCTGGTACCCCAGTCATATCTTTGCTGCTGGTCTCACCTTGGAGAACTTCAGGCCGCTCACATTGATGGTGCATAGGTCTGATGGTTTCCTCACACAGTGGTGCTTTAGCTGGACACAGGGCACAGAGTCAGCTCTCAATGCTCCAACAAAATGTAATCAATTAAGCTATTTTTGTTCAGTGTTATTTTGTTGAGCAATTGCATAATTTGTCATACTTTGTTTGCTTGTTCATTCATTCACTCATTGTTCATCCACTTATTCATGAAATAGTTACTAAGCACTACCTTGGGCCATGTGCAATGCTAAACATATTAACAAAATTTCTTCTAAGTCCTATCTAAAGCTTTGGACATAGGTTAAGAGAGGTAAGTGTGCCTTGCCAAAGGTCCTGCAGCTAGTAAATGAGATTTATGATGTGAATCCAAACCTGTAACCAACTAAACTCTAGGCTTTTTTGCATGCTATATGTCAGCCTACAATACTAAAAATTAGAAGCAAATCTCAGTTTTGGAGCTTCTATTAATGTTTAATGGAACCACATTTCTTTTGGGAAGACAATGGAGAAAGAGCAGAACAGCCTTCACAGAGCTTATAATTATTCTCATGGGATCCCAAGTGGCAAGTAAGTATTTATAAATGTAGTAAATATTTTAAAAGAGAAATTCAAGATGCTATGGGAGACAACAACAAGGGGTCCTAACCTCAGTCTGGAAATAAGGAAATATTTACTTGAGGAAGTAGTTTTTCAGCTGAGATCTAACAGCTGAATAGGAGTTGGTCCCATGAAAGCAGGTGGCAGGGGCTATGAAGGTTACCCAAGGCAAGAAAAAGCAAGGTGCTTTTGAGAGGTTAAAAAACAAGATAAAGTCGGAAAGGCAGTCCTTAGATAATGTGAGTCCATGTTGGCACTGTAAGGAACATGGATTTTATCCTACAATCAACAGAATGCTGTCAGAGATTCTTTTGGCAGGGAATGATAGTAGTTTTATAAAAATTGCAAAGTCTGATACACATAGGAGGGATAAGACAGGAGAGACCAACATACCAGATATTAATTACCTTCTCAATATCCATTTCTCTATTTCTTTCACGTTAAAACACTAACATTGTAAAAAAAACAAAAAACAAAACAAAACAAAAAAAACCACTAACATTGTTCACATTTTTCCACATGGACACATTCTTAAACTCCAGCTTGACCTGTCTGAGCCAATAGTAGAGATCTCATGATTGGCCAATGATGTTTGGACATGTAATATAGGTCTGGCCAGCAAGATATATACTGGCTTTTGAAGGTAGGTGTGGGTGACCAGTTAGGGAAAGTTTTTTCTTCATTCTAAAAATAGACGAGACCATGACAATCCTTTTTCTACCTCCTGATGTTATTCTCTATATGTGATGACCAGCATTGCTACAGCCATCTTGGGATCATGAAATCAGTCAGGCTAAGAAGACTCATCAATATGTTGAGGATGGCAGGACAGAATAATGGAAGAAACCTGAGTCTTGGAAGATGTTATGAAGCCAGTACATTAATCTATCTTTAACAACACTTCTCCCCCTTTTTTGTGTGTGAAATAAAAGCATACTAATTGGCTTAAACTAGTTAGGAAGTTACTGGAATAGTCCAGTAAGAAATGATATGGCTAAGTTAAGGATGGTGGTAAAAGAGATAAGAAGACAAATTTGACAACTATCTAAAAAAAATGTCAAGTTGGGGACAGTGAGGGAGAGGTGGGTATGAAGAATAACCTCAACTTACTGGCTTGGTGACTGGCTAGGTAGATGTGAAAACACAGAACAATAAAACCTGGGAGAAGGACATGTAGTTGGAAGATTGGTACTGGTACAATATGAAGTACCACTGAACTAGTCAAGTGGAACTATGCAACAGGCAGAGTGGATATTCCATTACTCTGAAAAACATCCTTACTGCTTCTACCTAAAGTGTCAATATGTAATAAGCTTTAGGGATTAAACATGGGAATGTATATCAGTACTGCTGGATATTGATTCTATGATCCATTTCAGATGCCAAAATATTCAGAGACTCAAGTCCCTTAGATAAAATGACATGGTATTAATGTAGTAGATTAGGGCAAAGGGAGGCTGGCCAAAAGACAGGATGCAACCTGTCAGGTATGAAGATCTGGAAAGGAGGCTGGGAATAGTATGTACCTATAAAACCTGATCTGAAATGAATGCGACCTGTCAATTATGGCCAGGATGTGTGGGCAGAGCAACTTCCAATGGACCAAATCTAGGAGGACATAAAAAGAAAGTGGCCATTAACTTTGCTGCCACTGCAGTCTTGTTCTGCTCTGCTTGCTTCTGCAGTGGCCTGTCCTGCTTGCAGGACATATCTCTTCTTGCTCTTCCCTTTTCCTTCACTCTTTTCTTCCTTTCTTCTCTTTTCTTTACTTTTTCCCTTTTCTTTTTATTACATTAAATGAAAGTTGTGTTTAACTATTCACCAGACATCCCAGCCAATTCTTTGGGCAGGACAGAAAGAGCCTGGAGTCTCTGGAAACCATGCCGTCCAAAAACAGTACTTGTATAAAATCTATGCTCATCTTCCTGTACACTTTAAATTGTCTCTAGATTACTCATAATATGTAAGACAATGTAAATAATATGTAAACAATTGTTATACTTTATTGTTTAGGGAATAATGATAAGAAAAAGAGTCTGCACATTTTCAGTACAACCTTTTAATTTTATATTTTCAACCTGTGGTTATTTGAATTTGTGGATGCAGAACATATGGATATGCAGAGCCAATTGTTTTTGGAAAAAAAGGAGAAAAAAGACCACTGTGGAGAGTGTTTCAGCCTTTTCTCAGTGCTGTTTCAGTTCTTGCTCTCAGTGGTAAGTGGATATAATAATGAAACAAATTCCACAGGTTCTGCAAACAGCTTATACTACCCTCCTGAGGTGAGAGGGAACCAACAAAGTTCTCTTTCAACCTCTGAGCTATGCCATGCACATCCCTTGGGAACCATAAGCTGATACTGGCAACAAAGTAGGTTACCAGAGAATTCTTCTCAAGGAGCTGTAAGAACTGGACTGCCCATTAATATTGATTTACAAAATGTGTCTTTCTTTGCAAAGCCACTCAGGCATTACACAGAGCAGATGTGAAATTACCTGGCTGGTTTCCAACACAGTCACTCCAGCTCTCTTCATAATGCCTGCTCCCAGCCCTGGGTGATATCTGGTCAGCTCCTCTGGCTTTCAGCCAGACACTAAAGCCAAAGGACAAAGGCTATAGGAGAACAGGACGTTCTCAATCCCACCTGGTCCTAGAAACATCACCTCAGAGCAGAGAAGGAATTTCTCTATCCTATTTGGCAATGGAATTAGATTCTCAATTTACTCTTTCCCCTTGAACTACTTCTTTGCTTCTCCAGTTCAAGCAAGAGTTTTTACTTCATGTAATATAAAGGTACAGGCATTAGAGTCAGTAGAGCAGAGATCTCATCCTGACATAGCTATTTGCTGACTGTAGGACTTCAGCCAAGGAATACTACCTCTTGGGCCCTCAGTTTTCCCATCCACCCAATAGCAACAATGTAATAGGAATAATAATATTGTATGGATCATGAGGTGGACATAAGGAAGGCTTTATATGTACAGAAAGTTTTGGGTTCCTTCATCATCCAGGCTGTGCTCAATTTGCTAATCAACATCACTCTTACAGTTTGGAGTGGGTAACTGTATCAAAGCAGGTAACTCCTTGCCTCAGTTGGAACAAAAACAGTAGAAAAAAGGGAAAATCCTTGTCATTCACTCTCTCCACCAGCTGATGCTGCCAGCCACTTCAGGATGCGTTTTCTCTCACCAAAAAAGCACGATCCAGGATGTGTCTAGGAATATCTGCTTGGGTTTTCTGCTAGGACAGTTTCTTCTTCCCAACCTCAAAACAAATCTTCTTCTGGCTTTCTTGACCTTCGGAGGGTGCCACAACCATACCGCGGGGCTTCTTCTTGAGGTTACCTTTCCAAGCCACTAGCCAATGCCCTCTCCCTGTTGGGAAGATCAGAACAATGAGAAGGGGTAATCTCCAAAGCTACAGTAAGAGCAATTACAGAATATTTATCTCTAATACTGAAAGTAAAAATAACTCCTGAGTAGCAAATATGTGATGCTGCTGCTGTTGTGTGTGTGTTCACATATCTATATCATTTAATTAGCCTAAGCCCAATGAAGGACATGTTACTGCCTCCATTTTACAGATGAAAAAGCTCAGACTAAAATAAGTTGAATGGCTTTCCCAATTACTTCCTTCACATGTTTACTGTCAAACTATCATTCTTCAAGGTTTTGGGATCAAGTATTTCCTGCTCTGTGAAGTCTTCCATGATTCCCCCTCAGTAGAGCCAATCACCTTTCCAGTGCCAGCTAGTTATCCTAGTTATCAGTTATCCCTCCATGGGTCATCTCTTGAGTAAAGCCAAAGCATGACCTCAACTCAACAGGCTCACTCTTCCCAGACCACCACGATTACTGTAAAGGGAAATGGTTGTGTGAGGAACTCAGAATAAGAAAATGATAAGACACTTGACATTTAAAAAAATAATAAACACAACTGGGCATGGTGGCGCACGCCTGTAATGCCAGCATTCAGGAGGTGGAGGCAGGAGGATCACTATGTGTTTGGGGCCAGCTTGGTATACACAGTGAGGTCAAGGGCACCCTGAACTACATAGCAAGACCCTGTCTCAAAACAACAACAGCAAAAACTCTAGTAATAGATAGTCATTGTAGAAAGAGAAAATTTATGTAAGCAAAGAGAAACTGATGTTTACAAGTAAATCTGCCTAACAAAAATGATACTGGCATTCTGCAATCTGTTTTCTCTTACATTAGCAATTTATTTACTGATGGTATTCACTGTGGTCTGCAGTTATATTTATTTGTTGTCTATCTTCCCCTCTAGAGTGGAAGCTCTATAAGAGTAGGGACTTTGTCTGATTCCTTCATCTCAGTTTTCCCAAGATCTGCAGAATTTTCCACATTGTGCCTGTTGCTGAATGATTTAATGAACTGAGCCACAGCCCTGCCCACACAATCATTTATTCATACCTTTTCTAAGCAACTATTTTGTGCTGGGAGCTAGAACTATGGGAATAAATAGGACAGAAGCTTTGACCCAAAAAAAGTCCAATAATACAGTGGGTGCCGTGGAAGCCCAGAGAAGGGAGCTACCAGCCTACAGCATGAATTGGATACAGTAAGTTGAAAGGAGTTCATTGGGTAGAGATTGAAAACTAGGTAGCCTGAGCCAAAGGCTGAGCATAAGAAATACCCAGAGATAGGAAAGGTTAGGTTCACACAGAAGAACAATACAGCGGCAGGAACCAGCCTGATGCTTCTGTCCACTGGCTCTCTTCTGGAGCAGCCCCTACCTGTGCCTTGGGGGCTTTCCATGTTCATCTGACCACTACTGTCCATCCTGCTTCTTGGATGCAGTTCTTGTCCTATGTCCTATGTGAGACATTTCCTATCCCTACCCCAGGAGATACCTGACAGTGTAGGTACATCATTTCCCAAGGCTGACCCCAACCAGGCATGGAATTTGGTTCTTCTTTATCTTATGTTCATATCCCTGACTCTTGGAGACTCCAGTCTGAGTTGGTGCCAAAACCCTCAACATGATGGCCAGGAGGGAAGGACCAGAGTGTCAGGAGATAACATGAGAAAGAGGTGAGACTGGAGAGGTCAGTAGAGTCAAGCCATGAAAGGTCCTGAAAATCAGACAAAGGTTGTGATGGTGTAGGCATAGGAAGAAGAGAAACCTGGAAGAAGGTTTTCTTGGGGTTTTTTCCTTCATAATTTTCATTTTGAGATAAATTTAGACTTTCAGAGAAGTTGCAAAAAATTGAGTTCCCACACCGCCTTCACCCAGCTTCCCTAATGTTCACGTCTTATATAACACAATTACTGAAACCAAGCAATTAACCTTTGTACAATATGAGTTACTAATCTCAGCCCTTCTTTGAATTTTGCCATTTTCCTCACTAATGTCCTTCTGTTCCAGGACCTTACATTGTATTTAGTTGTCATAGTTCCTCAGACTTTTCTTTTTTTGTGTAGTTTCAACACGTATAAAGAGCACTTGTGTAAACTGTGCTTTGACTTGAACTTGTTTGATGCTTTCTCATGATCAGATTAAGGCTTTGCAGCTGGCAAAGTAACCACAGAAGGGAAGCTGTGCCTTTCCCAGCACATCATTCCAAGCAGTTCGTGAGGTCATTATGCCTTATTTCTGGTAATGTTACTTCGGGTCGCTTGGTTGAAATGGTGTGCATCTGGTTTCTCTACTGAGAAGTTAATATTTTTCCCTGTGTAATTAATAAATATACTTTGAGACTACTCAAATGTCTTTTTTCTCATCAAACTTTTACCCACTTATTCCAGCACCTGTGATGGTTATGTGTCAACTTTGCTAGGCTATTATTCAGTCAAACACTAGTCTATATGTTGCTGTAATGGTATTTTGTAGATTACTAATATCTACAATCAGTTGATGTGAAATAAGAGACTATCTCTGATAACATGAAGGGGCCTCACTCAATCTGTTTGTTGAAAGGCCTTAGGAGCAAAAACTAAGGTTTCCTGGGGGGAAAAGAAATAAATATTTATTTATTTTATGGTTTATAATCCTATCCTAAAATTATTTATTTCATTGCTCAGACTGTCCCAGCTTTGGCCATAAGGAACTCCAACGTTTTGCTCCTGTGTCCTTTCAACTTTCCCTCATTATATTTTTTAGTACTTCTTTACTTTCTGGCATTACAAGATATTCCAGGCTCAATGTGTATTTTTTTCCTGCCCCAGTGTCCAAACATCTATTTATCTGAGGAGTCCCTGCTTATTTCACTGAAGAATGATATTTAGAAACTAAGATCCAAGCAACAAGAAGCAAAAGTATGTTCTTCACTACTGAGGTGTCTTTCTCAGTGTACATATACACGTATGTGGATACATACAGCTATACTGGCTTCTGTATTATGAGAGAGAGACAGAGGGAGAGAGTGAGTGTCTTACTGATAGCTCCACTGGAGAATTTTAACCAAGTAGGTGGCTAGGAAAGATCCTTATGTGAAAAATAAAATCATTCTATAGAGGTGGGGAGAAGAGAGTGGAGTAGAAGATTCACCCAATATTTTACGTACAGTTGTCTCACCTTATCTGAGGTTTTGCTTTCTGTGGTTTCAGTTACTGGCAACCAACTGTGGTATAAAAATACTAAACAGAAAATTTCAGAAGTAAAGAATTCATAAGCTTTAAATAACTTTTATTGCATTACATTGTCATAATTATTCTATTTTATTATCTAAATCATCATGTTAATCTGTATTTGTATGTTAAAATTTATCATGGATATGTATGTGTAGGGAAATTCAACTTAGATAGGGTCTGGACTATATACAGTTTCAGGCATGCATTAAGGGTCTTGGAATGTATCTTGTCCAGGTAAAGGGGGAGTAAGATATAGAGTGACCAACATATCACAACACCGGGAGTAAACAAGGTGTGCTTCTCTCTTGCTCTACCCACACTTCCAGACAGTGTTCCATCTATAGGGCTCTGCTCTGGAGGAGACTAGTCCCTGCTCCAGAGACTAGAAAAGTATTTGAGAAACTACTCAGAAAAGTCAGGTTTAAAGCATTTTATTTAGTAGCTGGGCAGAATATGACTACTCATCAAATAAGAGACACAGGTGGAAAGATACAAACAAGAAAGAATGAGGGCAGGAGTAGTCAGATGGCTTGCTGGAAGAAGTAGGGGAACAATGGTGATTCACGGATGGGGAAAGTCTGGCTAACTGAGATGAGTACTGGAACACTTGGGGCAAATCAAAAGCTGTGTGAAAAAAAACACAGCACTGTGGAACGGGGCATGCAATGGGGGTGAAGCACAGAATAAGGGCAAGTTAAACTGTGAATGACAGAATGCAGCAAAAGGAGTCAGCAATGAGAAGCCAGTAAGTAGAAGGGCACATTTAAACATGCACTGTAGAAGGCTCATTGAGGCTGCTGCAAGATAGATGGGAGGGACAGGACTGCGTGGTGTAGGAGGCAACAACGGTAATGGGGCTAGAGAGGAAGGCAGGGATATGAGCACCAGCGTAAAACAGGAGCTGGGAGGGAATCAATCTGGTAAGTCACCTGACCTTCTTCCGGTGTCCGAAGTAGACTTTTGGCTGGAAAGCAGTTGTTCAGGTAAGGCTTCCCATCATCCAGCTTGTAGACTCCTGAGGAGGCCATCTCCCTGGGGGCCAGCAAGAACAGTGAGGAGTCAGAAGAGCAAGAAAGTGCAACAGAGCAATCATCCCAACACAACTCATAGCCCATCAGGGCCAGTACTTCCTGCACACATCCTGTCTCAGAGGCCCCAAGGAGCACTGCTCTGCTTCAGAAATGAGCTGGTCATTTAGATGAAAAGGGTGACAAGGCCGTGGATTTTACAGCTCAAATAAATCCTACCACAGTGTATTAGTAGGAAGACCATTATCTTTAGGTTCAGACCTGGTTTGAATCCAAGCTCTATCTTTCCTTGTTGTGTGACTGAGAAAGTTATTCTACCCTCGCTGAGCCTGTTTCCTCACTTGTAAAATGGGGGTAACAATCCTATCTTAATAAAGGAATGTGAAGATCAAGTGAGGAAGGCAGTGCCTAGCACATATTAAGTGCTCAACAGAAGTACCCTTGGTTTTAACAGAATTCAGAGGAAAGGAAGGCTCACGTTTAGGGAAGATGATGTGTAAATAATAAGGTTTGAACTGGATAAATAGGATTCAAGGAAAAAACTGAGTTTGCTAATAGAGAAAGATAAACATTCCAAACAGAAAGGACACCTGCACTACATGTGCTGAGCAGTAAAGAAACAACCAATCACCTAGGAGGGGGAAGGATGTATGTCTGCAGTCTAGACAGTAAGGCTGGACAGGAAGGATGGCAGCTGCTCCAGGGCATTTGGTATGAGGCTAGGAACTTAGGCTTCTTCTTATAGGTGACTGAGAACCATGGACAATTTCCGGGCTAGGTAGAGCCATGACCCAAGTTGTGATTTTGAAAAAAAGAGGTCTAACCAAAAAAGTGACTGTCAACTGGAACTGCAAGTAGGGAGCACTAGCAAGCCAGGGGTGAACTGGGTAGAGTCCATGTGAAAAACTGAAGGATGAAAGAAAGAAAAAAGAAAAGAAAAAGGGAAAGGAGAAAGAGAAGGCAAAGTAAAAGAGGAGCAACTAACCTACCGGAAGTATGAATTATGAGCATTTAAGATATGGATAAAGGAAGAAGGAGGAGCAGCCTCTGAAGGATTCTGAAAGGAATTCTAAAGAAGACAGCTTGGGGATGGAGGATGGGCAGGGGCTGTTAAATAAACCAAGGGAAGAGAAACCTAAAGGAAAGAGGACCCGAGCAGCAGAAAAGGCAGGTGAGGTGAGGACCATAAACAGGCCATGAGGAAGCAGAAGGCCAGTTTCTGGGGAAGCATGGAGACTGATTTTAACCATATGGAAGAGAGAATGGAAGGTGAGGAAGTGAATAAAGTGAATGTAAGCAAGTTTTTCTACAAGCTTGACTGTGAAAGGGAGGGGAGAAACAAGTGGGAGGGAAGGCAAGGTCAAGAGGGGGGTGGACAGCAGGACCAGGACTGGGGGGAGGTAAGTGGGGTACCTAGGGAATTACTTAAGGGGGTGCTTGCTGTCTCAGAGTGAGGCAAATACAGTGTCAGCACTCGCCTCCACCTTAGTCCCAGCCCTGGTGGACTCTCACTACAGAGACAGCCAGTGGGATCACACTGCATGAGTTTGTGTGGCCTTGCGCCTGTTACTTAACTTTTCTATGCCTCAGTGTCTTCCTCTGTGAAATGTGGACCATAAGTGCACCCAATTCATGGGGCTGTTTTGATGATCAAATGAGAAAATGCTTGCGAAAGGACTTAGAATAGCAGCTGCTTCATGGCTAGCTTATATTGATTGTTTTCAGTGACGACAATTACTAACAAGATGAGACAGGCTGGGCTATATTTATAAACTGAAAAGAAGGAGCTGGCAGGGGAGGAAAGGCTGAGAGTTCAGGAGAAAGAATGGGCAGCCCGAGAGCCATCCCTGAGGAGGCAGGAGGAAGAGCACCTGAGGCCAGGTTGGGGTGGGGGTGCCTCCACTGGGGGAAGTGAGGGCAGGCTCCCTCAGAGACAGCTGCGATACAGAAGAGATTCAAATATACTAAATGTCCCACTTTGCTACCACCTAAAGAATAATATCACAAAAGAAAGAACTTTCCATTTCCTATCTGCTATGCATATGTGTGCATGCTCATACAAGTACAAACGTTGGGGCGAGGACATGGTTCTAACTCTAGGGCCTGAGTCAGGCTTTCCTTCAAATTACTATTCTCTTCAGAGAGCCAGACACAAAAATATTTCCTCAATGGAGTGAATACCTCTAATCATAATTATGCTTAGCATGTCATTCAATGATTCTGATGTTAAAGAATTTGCTGAGTTAAGAAAAAATATATATAACTCTCTGACACAGTCTGATGTCAAACCTTGCAAGAACCTACATTTTAGCCATAAGTTGCAAATACAAATGGTTACAGGAGTTGAGGAAGTCACATGAGTGAGTGAGGAAAGCTGGATGTGAGAGAAAAGGGTGTAAAGGGGGAGCGTGTGTGTGTGAGTGTGCGTGTGCCTATAGAGGCAGCTACTATTCAGCCTTGCCAATAGCTGCCATGCAGAAATGTAGGTCAATGTTGCCAAATTTACCCATATTTTCAAGAGAAAAGAGGATAAAAATTCCATGCCTCAGAATTATAGTAAGAATTAAATAAAGTAATGGATAAAATGCATAGAAAGGGAAAGCTTCTTTCTAGACACAGTCAAGATGCCACACCTCCCACAAAGCTGCCACTGAGCTTCCCCTGGATACTGGGGATTGAACCCAAGGTCTTGTACACACTAGGTGAGTATCCTACCAGTCGCGAGCTACATCTCTAGCCCTTTTTATCTTGAGACAGTTTCTTCCTAATTATCCATACCTGCATCAGACTAACAATCCTGCTTCCACTTCCAGAGTGGCTGGGATTACAGCATGGACCGTCATACCTGGCCTTCACTAAATATTCTATTGGGAAATACTAAGCCCTAGAATTCTCTCTTCAGTTTCTCTTTCATAGCCTGACTGTTTTCTATCTTACAAGATTACTAAAATTCATTAAAATCTCCTTCAAGGGACTATGAACCTCAAAGTTTGGAAACATGTCCAATTCATTGTCTCTCTTCCACTTTTGGGATCCAGCTCATAAGCAGCAGTAAAAAGACATGTGTGAGCCAAATGAGGAATATAATAGCACTGCTGGGACCCAAGAGTATAGGTATATCTGATCTTTCTATTTAGACTCCAAGTTCCCAAGAGAAAGGACAGTATCTATAGTATTCAACAATTTCTCCCTAATATAGCACCTAGCATATAACAGATTACATAAATATCTATGGAATGAATGCTGGTATCTCCTTTGGTCCAATTCAGGGCACTATGGACTTTCTGATCCCTAACCTCTCCTGCAAAGGATTGAGGCTCATGTATTCCTGTGACACCCCACGCTTCTCCTCATTCTTTTATAGTTGTTTCTCCCCTCACCAATTTACCAGTATAGTAAGAATTACCACTATAATCCTTCTTAGCCTGCCACTTTCACAGCACCTGGTACAGGGCCTAGAAATCACTAAAAATATTCTGGGAGGGTTAATGGAGAGGTAGATAGTTGGGGACAGATTCACATTCAGTCAAACTGTCTTTTAGGAAATCTGTCTAGTGACAACCACACCTATTTGCTGAATAAAGAAATGAGTACATAATTGGCTGGGAAATGTTAAGAGATGACTGTTGGAGAAGGCTCCAGTAACTTATTAAATATCAGAATCTGGCTTCTGGTTTACATAGTACATACTTGATCTTTGACTTTGAAAATGGCCTCTTGGAGTCTTTTTTCTTTTGTTTCTTGACCTGTTTCTTGACCTGCAAAATAGAAGTTATAATCCTTCTTAGTATGCCACTCAGAGTTCTTGAATTTTCTGATAAAGTATATTCTACTGTGAATTTCTGTTCCAAAATCTGGATACCTGTGGAAAAAATAGTACAAAAGATCAAAGAAATAGCTGGATATAGAGAAACAGGCATAAATGGGAAGAGGTAAAAGAGAACAGTTTTATGACAATGGAGTGTGCCTGGATTGTTTAAATAAGATATGAAAAGCACAAATCAGAACAGAAGGGATCACTGACATGATTACTTAAATGAAATAAATTTCTGCAGGATAAAAGTCACAAGAACAAAATTGAAAGATAAAACTCAGTCTGGGAAAAGATATTTGCCACACCTATAACACAAAGGACAAATCAAACTCAACCATACAGAACTAGACATAAGTGATCACAGAAATTCCAATTTCCTATGAAGAATATTAGGTGAGAAGGTATGGATCTACAACTGAAGGGCCAAGAAAGGACATAACTCCCAGGTTACATTTTCTAGAAAGTAACCCCAAGAGAAATATGAACTTTATGGTAGGGGGAAAAAGACCAAGTTCCAGACTTGAGGCTGCCTTTGTGGTTAACTTCAGCACCCTCTTGAAGGCTAATGTCAATGTAACTGTAGCACCTCCTACCTCCATAACACATACTTACATTCTTTCTCATGCACACACGAACACACAGAGGCAGTAATGTTCCTCATTTCCACCTGCATATATGTGCTTGTTCTATTTCTCTGACTTACTAAACTTCTGTCCTTTTTTGCTTGGCTCATAGATAACTCTCCTATACCTCCCTGTTCTCAGTTTGACCCTCCTCCTCTGTGTTACCAGCTCAGACCCATTTTTTAATGGAGGCATTCTACCACACTGTGTTATAATGGCTTGTTTCCCTGACTGTTCTGTTCCCTACCAACCTCAGACTATGAGTCCCTCCAAAATCAGCCCTAGATCCTGCTTATCTATACCCAGGCACCTCATAAAGAGCCTGGCCTACCAAAGAAATTTTAATGAGTGAGTGTTAAATCAAGCCGTGAACAAAGTGCTCAAGGAGAACTCAATATTGTCTGTGGAGAAGGAAGAAACAAAGGTCAGGGAAGGTTTCATAGAGCAGGTGACTTTAGAGTTGGGTCTTAAAACATGAGAAGCTACAAAGGCTGTGTTGCACTAAGTGCAACTTCTCTTGGCTTTAGTCAGAAACAGTTCTCAGACCTAGGATATAAGATCCACTCAGAACTTGATGCAACTCAACAGGCTCTGGATACCCTTCAAAGCCAGATAGATTCTCTGGCTGAAGTGGTATTACAAAGCAGAAGAGCCATAGATCTCCTTACTGCCCACGAGGGGGGAACCTGTATGTTCTTAAAGGAAGAATGTTGTTATTATGCAAACCAGTCTGGAGTGGTCAGGCAGATCACCCGCTAGATGAGGGACCGATTAAACAGCCAATGGGACCACTATAAAAATCCTGATAGCTGGTGGAGTATTCTAGGTGACTGGAAGACATGGGTCGGGGCACTCATGGGACCCCTCTTTGGAATCCTTATGCTACTAACTACTGGGCCTTGTTTCATAAATTTGTTTGTGTGGTTTGTGTCACAACGTGTAAGTGCTATCAAGGGTGAGGAACCCTATCAACTAATGATGATTTCAGACTCAGGTGCATATACTCACACCAGTCAATGTGAACATGTTGCTGAGGGTTAAAGAATTAACTCTAACCAAAAAGAGGAGGGAATGCAAGGGGAATTTTGCCTCCGTAGTTCAAGCAGGACTTACTATGGGAAATTCCCTACTTAAAATTTTCTTTGTTCAAAATGTCTGGGCCTGTCCCACATCACATGCCTGGACATGCCGAAGTCAACTTCCATATCTCAGAAATGTCTTTGTCTCTAAAGTAGTTTTGTCTTTCTGCCCAGATGCAAATGAAGTATTAACCCCCATATTTAGAATTACCCAATGAACCTGCTGTCAGTATTATATATGGGCCAATGCCATGTTTGATTCTGCCTGTTAATGCATAATTCAATTCTGTAACCAATGAATGTACACTGAGAGTACCTCACTTGTAACGCCCCCTCCCAAAGTGTATATCTACTTTGCTCAAGCGTTGGATGGGGCCAGTCTCCTGCGTGTGAACACAGGCTGGCTGGCCAAACAAAGCTTTACTTTGTCTCCAAGGCTCCAGGTGTGCCTTGCATCCTCTCGAACTAGGGGTAACGAACTTTATCAACGTAACAGAAATCTTGTCGTTTCAGCTGAACAGCAATACCAAGAAGCTACAGGGACATCTGACCAAAGTGGCCAGCAATTTCCTCACAGAAGTCAAGAAATCTAATCTAGACAATAATCTAATAATCTTTAGCGATCATATTTTTACAATGAAGTCATGCCAAGACAGATTTTTGTCTGTTCTATTCAGGGAATGTCCTGAGTCACTAGAACAGGCCAGCTACATAGTAAGCAACTCATTAACTATTTATTTTATCATTAGACACTTACTGGGGGCATATAGGGATTTAAAAAAACAGTGCCATGTAATGGAGCTTATTACTATTGCAACACTCTAGGTCTAGAATAGTGACAGGTCCGTTGTGATCCACTTGTATCCCTTAGTACAGTGTCGGACAATATTGGTGCTCAATAAGTATTTGTGAGGAAAAATGAATATAATGAATTAACATACAAAATGCGATTACATCTTAAAACTGTAAAAGCTGAGTGCCAAAGGGAAATACCATGGCTTTTGAAGCAAAACAAAATAGGACTAGGGATTTAGCTCAGTGGTTCCGCCGCCTGCCTTGCAAGGAACCGAGTTCGATCCCCGGTACCAAAAAACAAAACAAAATAATCCAGACTTCAAACCAGGTTCTGATAGACGCTCTCTGGCTCTAGATAACTAAGTTGCTCAGTTTCTTCATCTTGTTCTGGAACTGAAAGGTGTATGTACAATAAATGCACGTAGGACACTGATTGGCAAGACACTAGGAGTTCATTACATTTGAGTTCTACACAAAACATGACTAACAATCAAGACGACAGTCGCTTGAAAAAATAATCAGGTAAGTGCCCTAACAAGACTAGACAAGGATGAATGATGAGCTCTCCCCCGCCCCTTCGCAGCCTCCACGTCTGGGGCGGAGGGAACTAACTCACGCAAGCTAAGTTTCCAGTCACACCTGTCTCTGGCGTAGCTTCCGCCTCCGAACAGTTCGCGGAGGCGACTTGCCGGTCAGGCAGAATGCGCGCCTGAGAACTTCCCGGGGATCTCTCGGAGCAGCTCCACGGTGGTGTTTGCCACTATCGTCCCCACCCGCTCCTTAGTAACCGGACGCCTTGGCTGGCCGTGTACGCCGCAACTGGCAGTCGGAGCTTCTAACTAGGAGCTTCTAACTACAAGTCCCGGCAAGCCCCGCGACCACTTCCGCTAACAATCAGGCGTCAGCGCGCCTGGACTACGGATTCCGATAGGCATCGCGCCTCGCGTCACATCGGTAGTTCAGCCAATCGACTTCGGACAAGTCTGAAGAGAGGGAGACACAGAAGCTGGCAAGATGGCGGCGGCCCTGGGCGGGAGAAGTGGTGGCGGAGGCAGTAGTGGGGCTGGCGGTGGCTTTGGTGGCGGGACAGGCAACAGCCGCAGCGGCTTGTTGGATAAGGTAAGGAGTCGGTTCCTAGAGACAGTCCAGTCCTGGAGATGCCAGGGAAGAGGCGAACCCATCTTCTCATATTCGCCCCTCTGATCTTCCATGGTCTCTTGAGGGAAGCCCTGTCTAACTCACCTACGTGCACTTGTAGCCAGCCGTCTCTACACTTCAAACCCGACCCTATTCTTTAGTTTTTTGTTTTTGTTTTTGTTTTTTTCTCGGAAGTGTCCCTGGTCCTTGACGCTGGATACCATAGCTTCTTCGCATAATTTGGTTACTCTCACGTTTCATCCTGGCCAGTGCTTTTCCCTTGTGCTGGGGGTCACTGTTGAAAGTGCCCATTTCACTGACGAAGAAGCCGGAAGCCCAAATAGAGAATTCACGCGAAGTCGTATCCCCCAAACTCCTCCCCCCAGTCACTCTCGCGTGCTGCTACACATTCCGAAGTGCTCCTCATTCTTTTGCTTACTGAAGTTTCTCGGTATTTTAATCAACGATACATAATGAAAATATTTGAGTATTGGCTTCCCCTACTGGGCTGACAAAAAGCCTTAAAATTCTTTTTACCTCTTGCCTTTGCCCCATCTTTGCCACCAAGTGTATTGCTGTCTGTTCCCTCTTGTCCCTTTTCCACCGTGCCCATAAATTTTTTTTAGCTGTAGTCCTAGCAATAAGGACTGGGGGAGGGGGCACGACAATTCTCTTCCTAAGTTGGCATTTCTTGCTTGTTGCACACATCTTGGAAGAAACAGCTGTTTGGAAAGTGGGGTGCTACCACTTGTTCTCTAGCTCCGTGACCTTGAAGTATGCGTGCTCTCTGTTTACTCATCTACGCAATGAGGGATTGAGTCTTAAGGTACCTAACGTCCCTTCCAGTTCTCCTTGTAGGGCCTTACACTCATTTGGTAAGTATTAAGCACGGTGTTTTTGACATAATAAACAGAATGTTTAGTTTAACTGAAAAGCTTTCAAACTTCCCTGAGCTTAATACATGGTGGATGCTTAAGAAAAGGAATGCATGATCATATTGAGGGGTTCATATCCAGATCTTTTTGCTTATCTTTTTGAAAGTCATTGGTTTTTAATTGTATGGTGGTTCTCACACTTGTGACCCTTGATAAGAGACAGAAACATGTTCAGGAGGTTGGGATGGTACATTGCTTCAAGACACGTGAGAGCTTGGGAATTGATAAATATTTTTGCAGACAAATCCTGCGTTTTTTGCTGGGTGAGCACTAAACAGCCTGTGCTCATTTCTTCTTACTGACTGTTCTTCCTCTACTCTCTATATAGATTATCAAACATTAAATTAAACATGGACTTTCTGCTGAAGCAGAGATTACAGAATACAGTTTCTCTTGGTATCAATGAGGTTCACTTCCAGGACCCCCCCCCCCCCCCATACAGATTTTGGTAGCCAAAGAAGCTCAAGTCCCTTGTATAAATGTAAGGAAACTTTCTTGCCTGATATACTTTTCCTCTCTCCTCCTTAAATGTAATATTTGTGTATAATATATGCATATCCTCTAGTATACTTGAAGTCATCTGTACATTACATATAATAACTAATGTAAATACTCTATAAACACGTTATGCTGTATTCTTGGGACAGCTAAGGTTAATTGTCAACTTGATTGGCTTGAAATCCTCTGAGGGAATTAGTAAAGCATATTTCTGGGTGTGTCTTAAGTGGGTCATAGAGGTGTGACCTTAGGGTCTATATCTGGTCCCTGGACTTTGCCTCTCTGGCCTTGTTCCCCTGCTTTCTTCCTGGCTGCTATGAATTGAGCATCTTTGCTTTACTGTACTCTTCTGCCATGATGTTCCTGCCAAGGGACCAGTTTGCTATGAACTGAATCTCCTGAAACAGTGAGCCAAATACACTTAATGTCCTGTAAGTTGTACGTGTCAGGTAGTTTGTCCCAGCAATGGGAAAGTTGACTGATACACAGTTCTTTAGGGAATAATGGCGAGAAAAAGGTCTTTACGTGTTTAGGACCGATGAGTTTTTTCCTGAATATGTATTTCAGTCCATGATTGGTTGACCTGCGAATGTGCAGTCTGGATACAGAAGGCCAACTATTATATATGACATCATCATGTTACTAGAAGAACCTGGATTTGGGGATTGTAAGATTTTGACTTTGAATTATCTCTGCTACTTCCAAACAGGATGAAGACTGGCAAGTCAGTTAACCTCACTGAGTTTACCTTTCTTTGTTATAGTTTTTTTGGGAGAATTAAATAAGATAATATACATTAACAATCTCTATACCTGGTAGTGTCCAATACAAATACATAATGGCAGGGGACTACATCAAAATTCCAATTATCATAGAGTACTGAGAATAGCTGAATGTAGGAGATAGGATATTCAGAATATTAAGTATATTTAAGGAAGCATATGTTATATTCAAATGGGTACTTTTTACGGAAGTGAGAGATTCTTAAGATCTAATTGATAAGGTTTAGACCCCCAGGGGAAGGCACATATCTGAGAGTAGAAGTTGGACCTTATTTTGAGGAGGAGAGAGGAGAAGTTAAGAAAGTCTCCTTGAGAAAAGGTACACAGAATGTGGTAGCGCCTGAGGTTTCTCAGGTGGTGAGTTAACTGAAAGGTTCTTTAAGGAGCTGTAGTGACAGATTGCGGAGGGCTTGGATTGCCCAAAGTAGGAGTAGAAAACTATTGAAGGGGCCGGGGATTTAGCTCAGTGGTTTTGCTGCCTGCCTGGCAAGCGCAAGGACCGGAGTTTGATCCCCTGTACCAAAAAAAATAAAAAAAGTCCTGTTGAAGGTCTTTGAGATGATAAAATGTAGTTATAGGAAAACTGTCCAGGTAATTTGAAAAGATAGAAATTAGGGGGCTGGGGATTTAGCTCAATGGTTTCACCGCCTGCTGCGCAAAGGTAAGGACCCGAGTCAATCCCCAGTACCAAAAAAAAAATCAAAGAAATTAGGAGCTTTCTAATAAGGCTGTATGCCATGCTAGTATATAGGATTTCTTGAAAAGAAAAGTAAGTTTGAATTCTAGTATAGCATGTTAAAAGCCACATGACCTTGGATAACTTACAATATTACTCAACTTGTGTTTCCTTACAACAGTCAAACCCTAGACCTTATGTATTATAGGGTTATACCAAAAGTTAAGTTGTGTAATATTGGAAACATTCTTTGTAAAGGACTATATAAAAATGGAATGACAAGATTATGAAACATAAGTAACAGAAAAATTGATTAAAAGGCTTAGAGGAGCACTTGGAATATTTAAGAAGTGAGGGACAGAAAAGAAAACATAATCAAAGAGATGTTCAAGTGTTTTTTTCTTGGACAAGTCTGTTTCAGCCTTCCATTGAACCGTTCATACTCTTAAATTCCTGTAGAACTTACTTTACTTAGACTTGTCACTTAATAATGACATACTGTTTTGTATTGCTCCACCCACTTGTATCTAATTTCTCAGGGTTTCTCTGTAGTGATCGACAGAGAGGAAGTACTTACAGCATTGAATTTAGCAAAGAAAATGCCACATCAGCCTTCGGAAACAGCTTTAGAGGATGGTGGCTCTAAGTGTGAAAACTGAGGGTCCTGTGAGAGAACGTGGGAAAACTGTTCTAAGTGGAGTAGTCGTCTAAGTGGAATAGAGAGACTTTTGTTCTGTGGGAATGAGGGGCTGTTACCTCTAATACAATCTCTGATTCATCTTGATTTTTTACAGAAGGGGCTTAATTTTATTTCTCCAGATGTAGTTCCATTTGGTATAAAGAAATATAATAAAGAGATGTAAATGTGTTTTTGACTTTCTTAAAACAGATGTGGATTTCTGCTCCTCTGAAACCGACTTTAAGAACACAGCAGTTCTTGTTTCCTGATTTTAAAAATAAGTATGCAAATCTAATCTTCCAGTCTTCATTACAGAATGACTTAATTCATTGCAGTAAGTTACTTTGCCCAAAATTTATGACGGTATTTTGTTCTGTGTGGCAACTATAAAGAAAAGCTCCTTGCTTCATTTGTTTTAGCTATAAAAATTGAAAGATAATGTTCAACTATACTTTCCTGAAACTGTGTCCAGATTCTTTTTACCCTCACACCTACATTCTGTCTCTTGGCTGGGCTGTTCTTAAACCACAGCTTGTGTATTAATAAAACACAGCTTTTATTATATGATTTAGAATATACGCTGTGGAGCCAAGCTGGTTTTCTAACTTTGAATTCTGATTCTGCCACCTGCCAGCTGTGCAGTCTTGGGCAAAGTACCCACTTCTCTAGAAAAAGGGCTTATCTCACATCTTTATCACTGTAATTTTTACTTTGAGCATTTTGACCCTTTAGTCTCACAGACTAAAGGGACCAGTGATGGGATGTTTAAGCCATGGATCTAGTAACTGGAGCTGGCTCCCAAAAGAACTGCAATAGTGTAAACTTCTTGGGGCCGGGCTGGTGTAGAAGCAGACTGATCACTACTAATGTATAGTTTGTAACAGAGCAGAGAATTGTTTTTTTCTGCAGGTGCCACTAATGTGTGTGTTCATAATATAATTGACAGTTATTCTAATGTGTACATAACTCCAGTGATAAATGCAGCCACTAAAAAGCAGTTGTATGCGAGGAATTTTTTTTTCTTTTTGCCGTATTTCTTGGCCATTTTTAACGAAAATGGATTGAGAGTGAAGATTCAGTATATTGCTGAGAGCTGTAATCTCTCCCCCCTTTTTTTGGTAATCTTTCTTTAAGATACAGATTTTCTGAACTGGGATCTAAATTAGATGGCAGTACACATTCTTAACATAGACATCATTTTATTCCCAAACTGAACTTTTTTCCTTATTTTTTGAACTTAGCACTGATTTTTTCTTGCTGAATGTGTACAGGTGAGGAGTAAGGGCATATATATATTTACAAGTCAAGTAAGGTCATCCTGGGTCTACCATCAGTTTTTATTATCCTTATTTTGGTTTAGAAAATTCTGGAATCAGAAAGAAGTAAAATATAACTGTAGATCTTAAATATCT